ATCTTTATTGTGGCCCTGTGCGGCTACCGTACATATGTGAGAAATGAACAGGAAGTGAAGCTTTTACTGTGAATGTTCAGTTTAAATAAATAAATGAGGACAGCGGCGCAACATGGTTGTTTTATTGCTCGTTCGCTGGCGTTGCTACCGAGCTGACTCAAAGCGTAAAGCAGTCTCCTGTTGTCACTAACATGTGGTTATTTATAGAAGTGAATTAAGACGAAGCAGACTAAAGATAGCCACTGCTATGTAGGAATTGTAAGTTACTGTTTGTAAACAGTGAAACCAGTGAAAATGAAAGTGAAAGCCAGTCCTAGCTTTGTTTACTTGCTGTTTCACATCGCTACATTTGCGTTTTTTTAGTGCCTTGTCCATGATTTCTGTGGCTTCCTCTTGGATGTGTGTTTCTTGAAGTCTGGCACCTCATCGCTACCTTTTTATAAAGTCCTGACCGGCACCTGTACGCCGTGTGGAACATCCCAAACATAGCAATGTAGGAAGAAAATAAGAAAATACAGGCAAAGGGCAAGGTCTCTGCTGTTAAATATGCCACTAAACACTTCTAGTGGGTCATAGGTGATGATTTAGAGGGATTACTTTTGTGTCTATACATTGTGTTTTTAAAGAAAATCCAGCATAGTATACCTTTAAGTGTCACAAAATGTGATTGGTCATAGATTTATGGTGCAAGACTGGCACGACTAATCATAAAGACCAGCACAGTTGCTATTTAAAGGTAATAAGAACTAATGGAGATCATAAAAAGACCGTATGCTGGCATTCTGAGGACCTACTGTGAGTTTCAGAGTAAACAAAACCAAATTAGAAAACTACTAATTATAAAGTGCTGGTTTACTTTGACTTGCTTCCAAACTGTGAGGAAGGCTTTCCCTGCCTGCAGTGACCCCTGTTTGTGCACTTGTCAATACCTAAAAAATTGAGCACTCTTTACATGGAGCCAGGGAGATTATCGTAATTCCCTGTTGACCGTTATCTCTTCTCTAATGCATCACTTTCACTATTATATCTGCCTAATTTGGTCAAATCGGCGAGCAAATCCCATGCTCTCTGACTGAGAGGGCCACGAGCTCTGCCTGTGTTAAACCTCCGCAGCGGGGTAATTTGACCTAATAAGGCTCCCATTCGACCCTTTCAACTGTATTATGTCTGAAATAATTGTCTACTCTCTCCACCTTATGGTGTTGCTGTGGAAACTGATGAACACTTGACAGCTGTAGGATGGGGTTGCCATGACAACACAGCCAACCCGCACCCGCGTATGTGTGTGTGGGGTGGGCTTTATTTTATTTTTTTTTTTCCTTCCATCGTGCAGTGTGAGTAGTGCACGACATGCTGTCATCAGCCAGGCATTATGGGAGCAGGGAGATGGAACGATCCTGACTCCAGGGCCTACCTCAGCCTCTCCAGATAAAGGATTCTCCCCAACCAGGAAGAGCTTTAAACCTGTCAAAGACCAAAGAGCCAGATCTGTCAAAACAAGTCCTGAGGCCGCTCTCTTGCCACTGCTTTTATTATCAGTCTAGTCGTGTACTGGCTGTGATGCCCTCATTGGCCTGGTGTTCACTACAGGGCCAAACTACGAGCCATGCTCATTATTCGCAGCACAAATTTCCCTGAAACTAATTCATAGGATTCTTTCTGCATCTTGGTCTCAACAGGTGGAATATTAATCTACCGGGAGCTGTTATTGTTTTGAATATATTTTGTCTGGCCTTCAGAATAGCACTGCTCTGAGTTTCTGTTTTCCTGTCCGTGCCTATATCCTCAAAAATGTGTGTGTGTGTGTGTGTGTGTGTGTGTGTGTGTGTGTGTGTGTTGTCTTTCTCCATATCTGACATTGTTTTTCTTATATGATAATTTTGTTTTGCTTGTTTGAAACTCAGCCTGGTTTCTTTTGTGGCGGTTACAGTAAGGATTTGTGACAGTATATTTTTCTTTTCTGTCTACTGTATTTATCTGTCTATATATCAATCTATCTGTCCAACCTGATCTAATCTAATGTAATCTTAATCTAATGTAATCAGATCTACAGTACAAGTAATGCTACAGTCGATATCTTTTAGAAGGAGATACTTGAGGTGACGCAAAGTGCTCAGCTGACGGGCATGTCACTGCCTCGTCAATGTCAGTATTCTCCATTTCACTCAGTGTCAACACAGAGCCGTCCAGCGGCGCCGAGCGTGTTGCGTGTGTGCATGCGCTCATTCATATGCTCAGCATCTTCCGCTTGATGTTTACTGTTGGTGAACTCGCTGTGGAGTTCAGCTCATATTCCTCTAAGCAGATGCAGTGTGTTGAGAGATTCCGCTGTATAAACAAGTGAGTAATAACTTGTTTGTATTTTTCATCACAAATTTGAATTTCATCATAATTGAGCTGAGAAATTGCTTTTCTATGACATGGGATGCAAGTTAAAGATTGTGCCTTCATTAAAATCAAGAAACAGCAGAGAATACATCACTTGCACAGCATACAGATGCTTTTTATTGATAACTGCTTTCAAACTGCTAATGAGTAAGTCACAACCACTGTTACCATACAATACAGAACATCAACATTATTGTAATGTTTCAGTTTCAGGGCAAATGAAATGCAATTTTAAGGGTTAAATTTACCTATTAAAGGAACTCGACATGCTGCAAACCATGAAACACGCAAACCCCTCATTTAAATAGGGTGGTTCAGCCCCATACGCAAAATTCTAGATTGCGCAGGCAAATTAGTACACGCAAATTGGGATCTTAGTAGATCCGGCTCTGAGTAACTGATATACAAATGATTATTCAGGGGGTGAAGTGTTCCTTTACATAGTGGCATGGTGTTGCAGTGGTTAGCATTGTCACCTCACAGTAAGAGGGTTCCTAGTTTGAGTTAGGGGTGGAGCGTTTGAACCCTGGGGTGTGTCGGTTTTCTCTGGGTACTCCGGCTTCCTCCCACAGTCCAAAGACATGCAGGTTACGTTAGCTGGTGACTTTAAATTGCTCATAGGTGAATGTGAGTGTGAATGGTTGTGTGTCTCTATGTGTCAGTCTCTATGTGTCTTGTACCCTGCCTCTCGCCCAAATGTCAGCCGCAACAGACTCCAACTGCCCTGTGACCCTCAACAGAATAAGTGGTCATGGGAATGAATGAATGAATATTCCTCTAATTTAACCTTCTTTTTTTTTTTTTAATTGTCGGAAATTGTTGTCCTTCAGCATCTCGGCTCATCTGGGTTTGAATCAAAGGCCATTGGACTCCTTTTGTTATATAGCCTTCCACTGCTTTGCCGCTAATCTAAGTGGCTTCATCAGCTCCACTGATTGGTTGGGGTTTCCTGGCATTTAACCTCTGTAGATGACTCACACAATGACATCATGTAACATGTGAAGCATCTGCAGAGATTACAGTAAATGCTGGGGACTCCCTCCCAGTCATCAGTGCTGGTAAAACAGACACAACTCCACAGTAAGCCCTACTGCCTTTGACCTATTAATAGACATCCATTCTTCTCAGCTGTTGAAACCGTACAGCATTCCCGAAGCTAGATGGAGGCTATGATACAAACTTTTGGAAACTTTTCAGCTCACCGCAAATCATACTAAGCATTTATATAGGTAGCAATGTGTGTTTGTTATCATAGACATAAATAGCTGTGGTGAGAATATTTGTGTGTGTTTTTTACAGGTATGATAGTCATTGACTATTTTTCCCCATTTCAAATTCAGTCTGCTCTGTGTTAAATTTGCCGTAAACTGTGACCAGTGCCATTTATGTGTTGCATTCCCTCTGCATAAATATCCCACAGACACACTCAGGGCTGCAGGTGGTGTCTGTGCAAACTTCCATGTCCACTTAAAGTCATTACACAAGAGGCACCTGTGTGAGACAACAAATTATGCTGGGAGGAATTCTTTGTGTTGCTGAGCAGTGAGTGAATCTTGAATTATTTAAAGCATGGATCTCTCTGCCTGTAGTTCCCCGACATTAGACTGTAATTGGCTTCGTTAGGATGTTTTAATCAGCTGCAGCATCTTCGCTCTAATCTCCCCCCCTTTCCTCCAACCAGCGCCCTCTCAAGATTCCCAGAATCCTCGTCGTTATCTCCCTCCGTAGTGAGAACTGCAGCCATGCTCTTAGCTAATAAACGCACCCTCACGTACATTCATTCTCAACAACATATGAAACAGAAACACCTGCAGTGCTAATGATAAGGAAATTGTAACAGCTGGTAGCTGCCAGCACCCAAATATATACAAATCATATCAAGCAGTTCAGTCATTCACTTCACTCGGATGATTTGCAATATCTGCTGCTGCCAGCAAATCACAGGTTGCCATGTTATGAATACAGGCGGTGACTATGACTCTCGAACACAGGGACCCAATCATACTAAGATTTTGCTTTTTTCGTTTTTTTTAATTTAGAAATTGGACCAATTTTTTTGTTCATTGGGTTTGTGCTTCTTTATAGAACAATAATGGAGTATAGTGTTTATTTATTCAATGATTTTATACAAAGGCTAACAGTTTGTTTTCTCTCTATCTCATTATGCACACAGAGAAACATCACATTCCAGATATCTTGAGTTTCCTGCAACAGTTTCACAGAAATGTAAATTATTCTTAATGAGTCACTGAAAAAGGGACAGTTCTCAACACAGCATTTCACGCTCTGTTCCCTCCGCACACATAAATATTGTCTTTTCCAAAGCTTTGTGTATTTTCTTCAGCTTGGGCTGGACAAGTCTTTGCTCGGTTTAGTTACTCCGGCTGTTCCAAGTGCCAAAATCCTCTTTCCAGCGCTGTCAGTGTGCTGACACTTTCTGTCAGCTTTCATTGTTACACTGTTACATTAATTCCCCTGGTTTCTCCTGTTTGTAGCAGAAGAGGTGATACTCCACACCACTTCTGCTGTGGGATTAGCAGACGAGTTCTCCCGCTTCATGCAGTCTTCAATAGCAGTAACTCTGTTTTTTTTTTTTGTTTTTTTTTCCCTAGTTGCAGTCCTTGGCCTGCTGTCAGAGCTGCGTGTGGACCTGGATCTGCACACCTTGCTGTTTGGCGAGAGTGTCCTGAATGATGCTGTGGCCATTGTCCTGACACAGTGAGTATTTCGTTTTAGGATTTATCCGTGCCGTTGAAATGTGATATATTTCTAGGTTTAATTGTGTGGGCGCTCAGTCTTTTCCAATTGGCATTATGGGGGTGGATGTGTGGGGGAAGGAAGGCTGGATGGATGCTGCCAGCTTTAAGGAAAGGGTGTGATTGGCAAAACCGCATGAGTGCCTCAGATGCTTTGCAGTGGACTGCGTAAGCGAGTTGCCCCTGGCACTGTCAGCATCTCATTAAGGTACTCAGTGGAGAGACTCACTGCCAGGGTAGAGACACGCTCCCAGCTAACGAACTCGACGAACACAGCTACTGTCAAATTCAGACAAAATACAGCATAAAATCCTCGGAAGCTCAGTGGAGTAGCCATGATGCAGTCATGCCTTGTTCATGCATTTCAATTGCCTCATTCTTTTCTCCTCTTTTGCCCTTTCTCCAATGTTGCACTCTTATATTCATGTTTGTCCTGCTCACACACATTGCAGTCCTTGTCTGCTCTATTTACGCATTGCCAGTGAACAAAGCCATTCAAGTAGACTTGCTAACAGATGGCAAGATGGGGAGCAGAGAGATGGAGACGGATCGGGGAGAGAACTCACACAGGTCCACATTCATGGCCAGGCAGGCAGATGAAAAAATGGAGGTGGAAGGGAGATGTCAAGGATGAGATCCATATTTGCATATTGTATTCGCAAAGACTGACACATCACATGTACAGTACCTGCCATCTCTGGTGTCTCTTTCTCCAACGACACAAATGGGCCCAGACAGGCGGGCAGATGGAGAGAAAAGGAGGCGAGTGTGCAGATTGTTGTGTTCACGCCGTGGCTGCTGTCTCTGTGTACATTGAAGTGCAGAGGAAGGAGCCTGTACGTCTTCCTGGACAAACAGTCAGATAGTGCGGTGTTTGTTCCTGGAGTGGCGTGACCGGCCTTCATGCCATCTCTTGTCACTTGACTGGCTCGCTGGCCTGCCGGTCGCTCTGGCTCCACACACAAAGCTGGCCCTTATTAGTGAGCCACACGGGGCCCTGGCACTGGAATTTTAACAAGCTCCCGGAGCAGCTCAACCTTACGCTGATGTGCCCTCTCACAGGCACTAACCTTCCTGCTCCAGCAGCCTTGACCCAGCCACCATTCAACCAGGTCCTGTGTTGACAACTTGAGAGTTTTTGTCTGGGAGTTAACAGCCCAAGATAATGTCACACTGACTGAGGAACTAGTAGCCAAATTTAATGTGCTAACACAACTTGAGTCTTTATTTTGGCAGAGGGGATAATAAATTTCCCCCTTTCAACTTGCTGAGCTCATTAGCGTCAGCTTGATTGATTCTTCCCCTTTTGCTATGGAGATTAAAGCATGTTGTGGTGTGTGCTAGCTCATTTCAACCTGACAGCATGAAAAGTGGAGATACATTACAGGTTCATTTGTCAGACTTTTTTTTTGACACCATACAGATCTTCAACAAACCATTTTTATGGTACCTAGAGTATAAAGTAAGGTTCTGTGAGTTTTATCCTGGCTTTCAGGAGGTGTGCCCCTTTGAATGTAGGAAGCAAAAACATCAACAACATTCACTTTCACATTGTTTCTGCTGACTCAGTGTTTTGACATTCATTGAAAACAGTCGATGTCTACAGGGAGTACACGGGAGGGTCTGTGGTCGGTAAAGAAATGTTGTCATTCCACAAAGGCAGCCAGCTTCATCAGCCCCTCGCATGGGTGCCTGCCTCTGCTTGCTTCACCTCAGGACTTCTCTTACTCCCCCCCCCCCCCCCCCCCCC